GTGATCACGTATGGAGAGTCAGCTCAGCAGGCCTCCCCACCAGTAGGGCTTCCACTTTGCTGAGGCTGGAGGGCAGATGGGAGGCCTATCACATCTCTGAATGTGTGAGCTGCACCCGGTAGACACCAGGGACCCCAGAACCACATATGAGAGTCCACTGGGTCCCCTCTAGGAGGTAGCAAGACTCCAGAAACATCCCTGTCTCTTCTCCCCCATCCTACGAGTAACTGCATTTGCTTTTGTAATTCTTAATGAGCAATATCTGCTAGAGAGTTTAGCCGTAACAGTTCTTTTTGATCGTTTTTTTAAGTAATTAAAAAAAACACCAAAAAAAAAAAAGAAAACAACAACAACAACCCAGAAACTTGTTCTTCCAAAGCAGAGAGCATTATAATCACCAGGGCCAAAAGCTTCCCTCCCTGCATCATTACTTCTTCTGAGGCCTGAACCAAAAGAGAAACACTCATAAGCCCTCTGGGTGGCCAGGCTACCTGTGGGGCCCTCGGAGGACCTGGGCTGGGGCAGCCTCTGGGCCCAGTCTGGGGCCCGCTCCAGCCTGCGTTCAGTATTAGCAGTGGGTCACGACGTCCTTTCCCACCCAGCCTGGGATGGGGGCAGAGGAGGCGAGGAGGCCGTTGCTGCTGATGTTTGCCACTAACAGGTGGGTGTCCACGTGTGTCCACGTGCGTGCTTTCTGACTGAAATCTGAAATCAGCGCCCAACTTAGCCTCACCCAGTGACCTCTCGCCCGCCTGGACGGAGCAGGGCCCACCCAGTTGAGTGTTTCTGGGGAGCTGGACGGTGGAGTGCAAAAGGCTTGCAGAACTTGAAGCCTGCTCCTTCCCTTGCTACCAAGGCCTCCTTTTCCGTTTGATTTGTCACTGCTTCAATCAATAACGGCCGCTCCAGAGTCAGTAGTTGATGAATATATGACCAAATATCACCAGGACTGTTACTCAATGTGTGCCGAGCCCGTTCCTCGCGCTGGGCTCCCGTGTACCCGGACACTGTAACGTGTGCTGTGTTTGCTCTCCTCCCCTTCTCCCTCATCCTTCCATCGTTTTTCTGGGATTTTTCTGTTTGGGTTTGGTTTGGTTTTTATTTCTCCTTTTGTGTTCCAAACATGAGGTTCTCTCTACTGGTCCTCTTAACTGTGGTGTTGAGGCTTATATTTGTGTAATTTTTGGTGGGTGAAAGGAAATTTGCTAAGTAAATCTCTTCTGTGTTTGAACTGAAGTCTGTATTGTAACCATGTTTAAAGTAATTGTTCCAGAGACAAATGCTTCTAGACACCTTTTCTTTATAAACAAAAGAATTTGGAGGGAGGGGATGGTGACCAAGATGAGAGGGGCTGTCCTTTTTCCCCAGGAGGGGAGATCCGAAGAGATGACCCCTGCCCAGATCAGCCAGATGCCACCCAAAGAAGTTAAGCCTAAGCCAACGGACCAAATAGCTGATGTGTTGCCATTTTCAAAGAGCAAAACCAGGTTTTGTTCCACCCAGTGGATTCTGTTGCCTTTTTTTCCCCTGAGATTATTAGCATCATCATTATTTTTAAGGACAGACAAGGTTGATGTTCCTTCCAAGGGAGACAGGAGGGGTGTGAGCAGAGCCGACCTTGCCTCAGTGGAAGGAGGATAGGGCAGGCCTGAGGAGCATAGATCAGAATAAGGGTGGTCATCTCCCTGGAGACCTCCACTGTGGCCACAGGTCAGTTGTATGTTGACAGGGCAGATTGGCCACTCTCCACCTGATGCAGCTCTTCCTGGACAGGCTAGGTGGTAGGCATTACTGTTCAGGACACCCCCATCACATCCCACCCAGTCCCAGAGTATACAACACTAATGTGACCTCTAGATTCTTCACCGTCCTGGGTGATATGACGATGGTGGAGGGGGTGCACTCTCTTTGCTGTCATCTGATCCCCAGCAAAATTTGGGCATGAGAAACCCCACTTCCCTTCCCCTGGCAAAACCAGATCCTTCTGAGAAAAGCCATTACCCCCACCAGACATTGTTTTGGGCTCACGGAACAGGGACAGATGTGTGCTCCCTTAGCACCCAGCCCCCCCCCCCAAAGGCGAAGACAATGCTGACTGTCATGACTATTTGCACATGGGTTTAGTATCAGGAAGAACCAGGCAGGGTGGCTGCCCCCTCCTGAGTCACAGTGACACTGGACACCCTAGACAGAGGAGCTCCAGCTCGGAAGCCCGGCGAGGGTGGGAGAGAGGTGTGTGTGGAACAGGGAGCAGCCCAGGACAGACTTGGCTAGAGATGTCTCCAAAGCCCTCCATCACATTCACCTTCAGTTTTTGTGTTTTGGGACAATTACTTTAGAAAATAAGTAGGTCGTTTTAAAAACAAAAAATATTGATTGCTTTTTTGTAGTGTTCAAAAAAAAGGTTCTTTGTGTATAGCCAAATGACTGAAAGCACTGATATATTTAAAAACAAAAGGCAATTTATTAAGGAAATTTGTACCATTTCAGTAAACCTGTCTGAATGTACCTGTATACGTTTCAAAAACACCCCCCCACTGAATCCCTGTAACCTATTTATTATATAAAGAGTTTGCCTTATAAATTTACATAAAAATGTCCGTTTGTGTCTTTTGTTGTAAAATCAAGTGATTTTTTCATAAGGTTCTTTTACTATTTGAAAAGATGGGCAGCACGCAGTTTTATTTTATTTTTGTAAGTTTTTTAATACGTGTGAAAGCAAAGAATACTCAGCATGCCTTTCTAAGTGACGCGTTTGCACCTTTTGTTGGGAAGTACTGTATCCTGTGCTGTTAGCATTCTCGATAAATCTCTCTGTGAAAGTGACTCAAGGTCTGGGCTTTCATTATCAGACAGCTCACAGGACAGCATGGTGCTATGTTTCCTGATTCCGTCTGGCTGTCCCTGAACCCAAATAGCCAGCCGCTTTCAGGACTGCCTTGGGAGGAAAGACCAGCCTGCTCCATACACTGCCTCCCCTTGGGTTCCAAGGCTACACTTTCTAGGCACACTGCTCCAGCGTGTGATGGGAAGCTCTGGGGTGGCAGGCTGGGAAGGACCTGGCACGGGTCGGCCTGCTGAGCCCCAGGTCCACAGGCAAGTGGGCTGCAGCCCTTTTGCACAGCCGCACAAATCCCCTGCTCCTGAGGGCCATGGCAGGGGTGCCTCCTCTGTCCAGGTGCTTTTGGAAACCAGCTGCCATCCCCGAGCTCTGGCTCCTGTGCCTACAGCCTGAGACCTTCCTGTGGCCTCTGCTGACCTGGCCCCCTGCCCAAAGGGGGCGCTGTCATCACTGTGGGGCTTGCAGACCTTTTGCAAACTTGGCACTCAGGAGCTGCCTGCCCCGCCACAGCTGTTCTCACGAGGCTGTTGCTGGGCTGGAGGGAACAACTGCTCAGAGTCCAGCTTCACATGCAAATAAATGTGGGCACACGCTGCTAGAAGGTGCACTCGAATGTCCTGGCCTTGAAGGTTAAAACAAAGGGTTGAAATTCGACCTGTGTGTATTGAGCATGTCTCGTGTGCCAGGCCTGTCCTGGGAGCCGCTGTCCAGCAGTGAACAAGGAGGACAAATTTGCTGTTCCTTTAGGGCTTAGTGTGTGTGTGTGCATGACAATTTCCCGTACCGGAGTTGGTAGTCTTTGTAAAGGCTGTCCCCATGAGAAAGCACTGGGGCCCAAGGTGTGGCTGGCGATGGCTGTGACTTCTGGGGAGAGAGGCTCCCATGGAGGCCCATCTTGGGGGGACAGCCTGATGGGGAGCCCTCTGGGGTCAGGATCGAGGGGGGCGGGTGGTGAGGGAAGGAGACCTGTTGCCGGGCAAGCACTCATCCAACTGGAGAAACAAAAGAGCAGGCACTGTTGCTGCTTGGTGGGGTCTTTCCCCATCTAGAGCGGGAGGCAAACGAGGGCAGACGCTCACACCGGACACGCCCCAGATGCCAAGCACAGTAGCGGTTGCAGGCAGCTCTGCCCAGAGGGGCCTAGGGTCCTCAGGGTAGGAGGGAGTCGCGAGAGCGACTGGGGTGCCTGGGGAAGAAATGGACTCCAGAGATGTTCAGGGAAATGACCACAAAATAGGGGCTGCTGGAATGGAGGAGCACCACAGAATCCAAAGAAAGCAGTAGCCGCAGAGCACTGTGGGAATGGGCAAGACGGACTACTGTGGTGAAGACATCAGACAGGGTAGGAACCGAGCCTGTGCCCGGGAGAGGCTGGACTCTGCCATCCTCACAGGGGGGAGTGCCAAGTGAGCCAGGAGCATGGCAACAAGTGGGAGGAGGCACAGCAGAAGCTGAAGGCCTGTTTTTAAGAGACGTAAACACGTTTTATGCGCTAGTGGGAAGAAGCCACCAAAGAAGGAAAAGTTGCAAACACTGCAAAGAGCAAATAATTGCTGGAGCAGGTTCCTGAAGGAGTGGAAAAGATGGGATGCAGGGCGGAGGAGGTGGGCAACAACGCTCCGAGCTGGGGCAGCCTGCTGTACAAGCTTCCAGATCGTTCTCCCTGCACCCAGCCTCACGGCCAGCGGATAGGACGCAGCGGGGGTCCTCTGTGTGACCCACATCTGACCCTGCCCTGCCTGGGATCTCTGACGACTCTCTGCTGCCTCCCGAACGAAGCCAAAAGTTCGTAAGGGGACCTCCCAGTGACGCTCACAAGGCCCAGCTCTAGCCCTTTCTGGAATGTCCCGGGCCTTGCCATGCCCTTTGTCCCAGTGCTCGGAACCGCTCTCCTCCATCGCTCAGAGCCCCACTCAGGCGGCCCCTCCTCTGAGAAGCCCGCCTCACCGCCCAACCGGACCAAGGGGCGCGGCCTTCGCGGGGAGAGACCGCGCGCCGCTGCGGCGGCGGCGGCGGCGGCGGCGGCGGCGGGCAAGGCGGCGGCGGCGGCGGGCAAGATGGCGGCGGGCTCGGACCCCGCCCCTTCCGCCCCGCCGGGCGCTGCACGAGGCCGGCTTAAAGGGGAAGTGAGTCAGTGTCCGCGGACCCGGCCGGCCAAGGCCCGCGCCCGCCCCGGCCTCGAGAGGCCCCAGGAGGCCCTGGCCCGGGGGCGGCGGCGGCGGCCATGGCCGGTGGGCCGGGCCCGGGGGACCCCGCGGCCCCCGGCGCCCAGCACTTCTTGTACGAGGTGCCGCCCTGGGTCATGTGCCGCTTCTACAAAGTGATGGACGCCCTGGAGCCCGCCGACTGGTGCCAGTTCGGTGGGTGGCGGCGGGCGGGGGGACGCTGGGGCGGAGGGCGCGCGGGCCCCGGGCGCCCAGGCCTGACGCCTCCCGCCCCGCAGCCGCCCTGATCGTGCGCGACCAGACCGAGCTACGGCTGTGCGAGCGCTCCGGACAGCGCACGGCCAGCGTCCTGTGGCCCTGGATCAACCGCAACGCCCGCGTGGCCGACCTCGTGAGCATCCTCACGCACCTGCAGTTGCTCCGCGCTCGGGACATCATCACGGCCTGTGAGCGCGGGACCCCGGGCTGGGTGCGGGGCCTCTTACGGGGCCCCTC